CTTGATGCCGGACCGGCAAGCGTCCCGAATTTTGGGCCAACCTCGAGCGGGCCAGGCTTCTCGGCCGTAGCAGCGCCTAAAGACGTGCGGTATAGTGGGATCCGCGTGGATTCCTGCCTAACAGTTCCGCTGCTTGAATAGGCCAAGTCTCACAGCCATACAAAACAGCTCGCACTGTAGCTTGATACACACGTCCCATGAGATTTAGGGATACACCACTCTGACACCATAGGTATCTCAAATTAGCGAACGCTACCCGAGCCTTACATATTCGTGAACTGATCTCATCTGTCACGTTACAATCAGAAGAAATACAACTTCCAGGATACGTCAAACGTTTCAAAACCTCCAGTACCTCTCCCTGGATTGTAAATGGTATTCAGTGACTGCACGTCCACGAGCATGACCTTACACTTTGTGGGTACAAAGTGCATACCCAAGGACGGGATGACTTACATCATTTCATCCAAAACACTTGCGTCTTTTCCTCCCCTTCTAAGGCAAGAACAATGTCGTCTGCATATTCCAGATCGACAATGTTTTCGTTACAGGCTATTCGAACACCGAAGTTTTGGAGACCTTCCGGCGTTCGTCTCATTATCTCATCGATCACGAAGTTGGGAAAGAGAAGAGTGAGCATCCATGACCGATACGGCTTTGTGTACGGAAGCTTTTGGAGAGCTCGCACCCATAAGTCCGAGCATACAATGGGTTTAGCGTGTTCACAAACTTACGGGACATTCCTTGATGGACACGCGTGTCAAGCAAAGCAGACCAATCAACCGAGTCGAATGCGTCTTTAAAATCCATGACAACTAGAATTGTGGGTCGTCTATAAGTAAAGTTTGCCCTAGCACCCGACGGAGTGTGGAGATTTGGTCAACACAACTCCTATCAGGCCGGAATCCCGCTTGCTGCTCTCGGGTCAGTGTCTCACGAGCCACCGTAAGGCGACGAAGCACAAGTGGCGCTAACAGTTCCGTTACGATCGGGGTTAAGCTGATCCCCCTGTGGTTACCACGCTCACCTACGAGCCTCTTTATTGAAAATGGGCACCATCACCGACTCTCTTCGGTTGTCTGGGACAGATTCCTTCTACCAAATGCAAGCAAACTGATCAGACATGCACTGACTGATAAATTCACCCCCATCTTTGAACAAGGCGGGTGGGAGGTCATCCGGACAAGAAGCTCGGTGGCGCTTAAGGGGGCATAGGCAGATGATCACTCCTTTTCTATCCTTGATGGCTTCGCTCACAGGTAGTTTCCGGGGTCGTCCCACGGATCGATTGGAGTGATCTTCGGGCATTACCGGTTTTCTGAGCCTCTTCCAGTTCTTTAGCCTTCTGTGTTCAGCATACTTCACGGTCGGTTGGTATGCTCAATTCCATTCGCCGTCTGATAATTCGTCGCACCAGGTTATATTCGGCACCGGATGTATTTCTCCGAGACCTAAGAAGTTCCACCGTTAGGTCTGATATCCAGTGCTTGAATGCGCCTGGTGGTGCTGTACCACAGGCAAAATTGCCAGCACTATGCAAAGAGCTGGCAATCTTGTTCACATCTAATAGTGGAGCATGCAAAATGGACTCAAGAAGATATTCTGGTAAATTCGTCTAACGTCTGGATTTTCCAGTCTCTCAGTTGCCAGGCGATTTGTCCGCACCTCCATCGTCATCATCATCGACAGTATGACATCAGTGTTCAACACTGATGCTTCACTGCTCCCCATCCAGGTTAACTCTTAGGAATCCGTACCTCGCAGGAATCGTATATAAGTATAGCTTAAGACGGGTTCTTGGATCGCACCACTCTCTAAAACTTACGGCGTTAGTCATCCCTCCAGATCAAAGGCTTATTTTGACTCCTGTCGTCAGGATTTATTGCGGTACCTTGCGATCAAGGGTATCCGCCTAAATCCCTTATTCTTTATACGGACACTGTATGCGAACTATGGGAGTACAGCAATCTGTTGCCAAAGTTTACCACGTCAAACGATACACGCCAAGGCTGCATTCTGTCGCCGCTCCTCGACAACTTTGTCATCGACGTGATATTTCAGTGTTGCTGATCTTATTTATTATCCAGTATCTTGGGTCCTTCGGTGCAACTACCATGGTGGGCCTGGTACGTCTGTATCAGACAGGCGTTGGTTGACGAATTTGCCGTCATAGTGCCTACTCTGGGTCTGTGGACAAACCCCCTCTCCGATACACTAGACTGCGTACCATGATAGAAGGTAAGCGACCAGAGTTAGCTCGCTAACTGTCTTTTCAGCAGTCTACGCTCACCCAGTTTTCAAAGGTTGCGCGTGACAGGAATTGAGTAAGGAAGTCCGGAAGTGGTTCGGTAACGCGCGGCACCGACTGGCGCAGAGAAGGCGCCCGGATAAGTTGGCAGTGAGTTACGATTTTACAATTGGACAAGTTGATCAGTTGCAAGGGGCTTGGGGCTTAAACGTACGTTTTTCTGCTGTTCCAGACACCTGCACTGAACCAAAAAGGCCCTGACGTTTACACTGGACCCGCCTCCATCGAACTGAAGGGGGTCAATAGTAAAAAATTTGTTTTGTATATTTAGTATATTTTTTTACAGAACACGCACTCACGTTAGCCAAAGTCAATGGTAGGTTAACTCACATGTTTGAGTAATATCAACCGAGGGTAGCGATTTCGCCTGCACGCTCAATGTCCGTGGGCGACCGCCGAGAGGTCGTTTCAATCTCTGAGATTTCAGAGCAGGCAGAGATACTTCGAGGGCCCCTAACAGCGGAGAATCGCGTCATATCACGCGATTTAAAAATGTCCAAGCCGCCCTATATAGTGGGCTGCATAACATGAGAAGGCGAATAAGCCATGGTGAAATTCCGCCTACAAACACCGCGGTCGGTGGAGGACTTTTATGAGCAAGTGCTACGTTTTGCAATACTAAAGTTAAAAGCGTCAAACTGCACACATCACACTAAGAGGCATGAATCTTATGCAATGTATTCTCCAATTTGTTTCAGACTATTTCCTCGCACGCTTTAACAATCGATCTTTCGTGAATCTATACGCTTTGAGCACTGACTGGCGAGCAAACGCAATTTGAACGCACGCGCTCTCTGGCTTGTGCGCGAATAACCAATCAGAATGCTGCTGGTGTGTTATCACATGCACAAGCCTAATTCAAGCAAATGATTGGCTGCGCCAGGTCACGTGATAATACCCGAGCATGTGCTATTTTCTATGTATCCTTTACTTCCAATATACCATTACATATTTTTTCGATTGCCTAACCGTTTTTTATTTGAATACAAAAAACCGCAAAAACGCGCACTTCTGCAAGTTCACGCAATGCGAATGTGGTCATGTACTTCTACTCTCACTTCTGATCTCGCTCGCGCTCACACAGCCCATTCGCGAGTCTCATGAGCTATCTCTAGTATCACAACATTTCATTCTATCTTCGGAATCTCTAAGTGGGAACTCTTCAGAAGACAACCATGATTGGATTATTGTTTATTCACTGACCTGGGCCAATGACGAACTATTTTAGAGAGAACAATTCCTAATGAGTCTGCCTAGTCTGACCACTTTATTACTGTATTCTAAATCTAGGGTTATTATTTTCATTTCTTTGCCGCACACCCTGGTACAGTGGCCTTTGCATAGCCACACCACTACAGCTTTCGCGAGGCAGAGCCGTTCTAGATATGTTTTACCATTTACTCTCAAGCCGTTTTAGTTTTTTCGCCGGGTCATTTTAAATGCAAATTCCAATTCATTGGATTCAGTCGAGAACGCAAGTAGTACTCACTTGCCAGACTACAGTTTGCGCAATCTCAAGGTGTGGTTTCACCAGCTCGAGGCGGTTTTCACCACCCGGATTTTCTACGTCTCCCGGCATCTTCCAAGTTACCTAGCAACAGAGGTGGTATATCTGTTGGAAGATATCCTCAAGGAAAATCCATATGACGCTGTGCGAGCGGCTGTCATCAGTAGGACAGGAAAATCTGAAGATAAAATGCTACGTGATTTCTTCACCACAGTCGAATTTAGTGGCAGGTCACCGTCACAACTGCTTCGACATAGGCGCAGTCTACTTTGCTGCCGTAATCTGGCGGTGGAAATCATGGCACGACTATGGCTCGACAAACTTTCACCCTCCATGTCCCGCGTTATCAGTGCTTTCGTTGATGACCATAGCCTGGTGCAGCTCTCTCAAACAGCGGACAAAATATAAGGGACCTACCCCAGTCACCCTGTCAGTTCCGTCTCCCGTCCTACGCCCGCTAGATCCACATATTCCGATCCAAATTGTTCTGCCATTTCACAATTAAAAACCAGATTTGACACTTTGACCGATCATCCACAACGGCTGTAGATCAACAAGCATCGATCACATTCACAATCTCTATCGTTAACCAGTTCCCATCCCTCTTGGTGCTGGTATCACCAATCTTCCTAAAGCACGCTACTGCCAACCGCTTTGGTCCTTCAAGCCGCGTTCTAACAGACCTTTAAACACCCCGGCCAGTCAGTAGCAGCGGTGACTGTCTGTGGCCCCTTCCACTCGCACTATTCGCCTATTCCACATTACCCATCGTTCGAGTGGTCTAAATTTCCTCGTAGATACGGAAGTCGAAGTTAGCATGTTACCACATAAGAATCCACTTCCTAATCCTGCCTCTTACTCTTTACAAGCCGCTAACGGTATCCGCATCGCTACATACGGTGAACGTTTCCTCACATTTGACCTCGGATTGCGACGTGCTTTTAAGTGGATTTTCCCTCTGACCGACGAATAAACACCCATCCTTGGCACAAACTTTCTCACCCGCTACAACTTATCTGTCGGAATGAGACGCGAACGTTTCTTGGACATGCTAAGTTCCTACTCACTCAACGGAATTAGTGCCCCAAATTCATCCACAGGTGTCCGAATCATCCTACCTAAGTCTCATTTTGCTAACATACTATATGATTTTCCTACCCTTACTCATCCATGTCAGTACACCTAAACGATCACTCATTCCACCGTTTACCACATCCATACGAGAGGTCCACCTGTCCATATCAACCCTCTTCGAATTCACCCAGATAGGCAGCATACTAATAATATATATAATATGACACAATCGGAGAAGGAATACGCATTTCTGTGGCGCCCGGATCTGGGTTAGGCCAGGAGATTGACCAGATGGAGCCAGGCCGATGCAGGGTAACCGATAATTTCCCTTCGTTTGGAGGACCATGTGACTGTGGACTGGGGACCCGCCAGGTTGAAAGAATAACTGTTGTATGGGACATTTGGGGAACCACGGCAGAAGTTTGGGGCTTGAGAAGGGAGAGCATGAGGAAGGAATAGGATGAGAGTAGTATCGTTTGGTGAGTACCAAGGGGCGTTAGTTTAAAAGGTGTCAGTAAAAATCCAAAAGGAAATGATAGCAAGCTAAATGAACCCAGAAGAGGGTGGATTTGTTTGCTGACCCAGAAACCAATTGCTAGCTTGGCCAGACTAGGTGCCCAATTTTGGGAAGGGAAGGACTTTGGTGCCGAGATGGCGAGCAGGGAGGCTAGCACTTAATTGGTTGGAATGGGTGGGTACTTGGTGGTAGTTTTAAGCTTACCAAAAGAATCCGAATGTAGGGTCTCCGTTGTCCACTATCAGCACCTGATCATGAAACCTTTACCGTCAACCTAACCGCAGTATCCCGGAAGCGCAAAACTTTTTTCGTATTCTAGCCCACTCATAGGTCTCTGACCGTTTTGATACTGAATAACTATTTTTCATCGTGGCAGCATAATTATCTGCGGCCACAGGGTTCAA